GTGCTATGTTATATGTGTGATGTCACCTATCTGTTAAAAAGGTGGTGGCGCTGTATGGTTTCATAGGATTAGTGGTACATTTCGACATTTCGGAATCAGTTGGTTATAAATGTCTGAAATCCCCTTTCGTGTCTAATGTTTTCTATACGTTAGTCTGTATGGATACGAAGAATGTTCCTTCTGTTTGCATTGTGAATTACAGGTAAAAGTGAACGTTTCCTCACTTAACAGATTGAACTAGTTGGATGTTTTGTTTTATTATATTTGAATTGTTTGACCAAGGTTTGAAAGGCGGTGGTCGTCGCGCCACGCATGTGCAAGTTATGGGTCTCATATTAACAAAGATGGCAATTTGACTGTTGCGCAGACCAACGAGTACAAACTGAGACGTTAGTAAGCATTTACTAGGTAATTTCGTTGGTGTTTTGAAGGTGTCGAAAAGTCATCGGTGGTTATAAGTTCACGTCACGCCCAGGTGAAATCTTGTACTGTGGATTGTGGAAAAAATATAGTTTATCTATACAAATGTTGGATATACGCGACGACCACGGACCTTTAACTCTCATGGCGCCATATTAATGGAGGAAGTTACATTGACAAAGACGAGCAAGTGAAATGAAATATTCATCGTTATCTACGTGTATAAATGTTTATATTTGATTTTTATAAAGCATCGCATTTGTAGCGTTGTTAATGGAGTGAGAACATATGTCTGAGTGCATACACTGAGGTATCCTCGTAATAACCTTATTATTATACTTTTTTGCCTTCCAATGATACATCATGAGAATGCCGAAATCTAAAAAGCTTAGTACGGAATCAGCAAACTTCTTTGTGTAGAGTCCGGTCAAATCCTGGTGGCAGCCATGTTTTTATAACTAGAGGAAGCTTATTCGCGTAATCATTCCATATTTGGAATTCGCATTTCCTTATAAAATACCGCAAAATTACGACACGCTGTAACTTATAGCGTTACGGTGACTCATGTATAATAATATATATTATTACTGTTTCAAATTATCCTCTACTTTACATGCTTTTTCGTGAGAAACTATCATAAATCTCTGTTATGCAGACATATTTACCTTCACCATATGATGCGAACGTTACAAAGATTATCAGATATTTTATTTGGTCAATCCAATCCAATGTGAAGGCATTTCAATTGTTGCAGCCGGTATCTAAGACTTTTTGTTCCGACCAAGTATTATTACCTAGCGTGAGGACCAAGTTATTCGACGAAAATACAGATACTCATTCAGTATCAAATTGTAGGGAACCCACAAAACGCTCAATGCCAAAACACAATTTGCTACATGTCACTCTCAGGATATTGGCCAGACTAAACACGTTAGTACGAGTTTGCCAATCAGGGACTGTGAGTTTGCCAATCAAGAATTTAACATAGAGTTGTAGTAGTATCCGACCCATTCCTGGATTCTGTTATACTTATATATTTGTTTCCCGACATGTTTAATGTATTTAACTTCTTTTGCATAGTAATTTATACTGCCACTGTGAATGATCACCTGCTGGTACCTACACCTAGAGGCTAGTGCTTTGATCGCTTGTTAGCTTTTAATGTTTTACTCCAGATATCTTTAGGTGGTTGTTTTTTTATTTCATGAAATGACAATAAATATTCGTGTCCCAATGATGTACTGGCTAGTTCTAGAGACCTATCGAATAATTTTGTTTGGGAGCGTCCATTCCTACATGCCTCAAAAATCTGATCTGCCTTCAAAACAGTCACCACATTTGCAAACGTGGGAATGTTACAAATCTACGACTTTTATAGTGTGTGATTGTTTGTGATGCTTCAAGAAGGGTGGAGTGCACCAAACTCGTCAAAAATTGCGCCAACGCAAACGCATAGAATCCTGGACTAGGTGTTTACGCCAATCACCACTTGGCGAGGTCAACATCGACAGCTTCTATGTATTACACAATGATACTTCACATAAAACTAATCTTGTTCTACACAATAATAATACCATCTACTGATACTATACATGTTTTGGCGCAGTTGATTTGAGCAAAAAAATCGTGGTTTGACTAAATGACTACAATCATATTCAAACACACTTTAAAAAACAATGAAACGCCATCAAAAACACCAAGAAATTTGTGTTTTTGAACTATGACGAAAAACATTAGTATTACGTCTACAAAGCCAAGATCACCCACTTTGTATTTACTCCATTGAATGCTGATGATATATTGGTGTAATGCATTATGTGATATTTGCTCACCTAATTCCTTACATACGACTGTAGCGTCAGCATCACCAGTCAGTGTCACATACTCTTCCCCACTCATCTTTGTAAACTTCCTAGGTCGTCCCAGCCGAGGGAAAATCCGCCAACCAAACGCAATAAAGCTGATTACAAAAGAAGCAAAAAGGTTAAACCTGTCACCATCATTGCTAAGCATATGTCAAGAATCACTGCAAAATAACCCTGTTACAAACTCAGCCTGTCAATACCAATAGACATTGTTTTCTATATATTAACATCGAATTTTCAAATAGTTTTGGCCATAGTACCTTGACTCAGTATTACATTGCTTCAGAAATCAGAACAATTTAACCATACGACTTAAGTCTTGGGAATTTTTATTGGAAATAATACACCTAAATATGACGTACCATTACATACGATTCCCACATCCCTATTGTGACCACATCTTGACATACTAGTTGTTCGAATTGATGGACAATAAGCAACATTAGGTTCATGACCAAAACAATATTGCTGTTCCATCCATATATGACCAGTCCCACGACCATAATATGCTCTCCGTGGAATAGTCGTCAGTCCGAGACTGAACCCTGTAACAATGTGAAGACATACTATTAGAATATGATGCTTACAATTTGGAACTAATTCCTCATTTACAATTTTAATTTGAAAAACATTTATGAAAAATACATACCAAGCTGTCGACAGACCACACCACCGTCACTATCGTAAAACCCAACATCACACACTGTGCCCCACTCGCCATTTATTTTAACTTCAAGCCGTCCTTGATATGGGGTATGCCCGTTTAAACGTACTTCGGGATCTGTAAGACGTTGGACATAATACAACAATTAAACTCCGCCTTGCAATTATGCACGTAATAAGGTATAGTTCTGAGTAGGTATAGTTTTATATCAGTCATTACTAATACTCAACTGAATAATTAGTACAAAATATTGTGGTAGGCGGGAATATGTCATGTTTATGACCGCTGAAACAAAGAATACTGCTATTACCATTATGGGGAGATATCTCAGGGGGAAGTATAATAATAAAGTTATTTGTCACTGACCTATGCAGTTGACTCCAGCTGCCATCAAACCACTGTCTGCAGTTGTACTATGCCAGCAGTTGCGAACACTATGTTCTGTTCCAGTGCATTGGACCATGTCCCCCCAAAGAGGTCCATGACTTGCATCGTAAGCTGGGCAGCAATCGTCCATATTGGCTCCCAGAGTAAAACCTATAAGGTAATGAGAGGTTTTGTAACGTTACTATTCCAACAAACGTACAAACGACAACAAGAAATGAACAAATCAATCAAAGCATGAAATATACAATACATGTTTAAACGTACCTAGCTCTTTACATACAACATTGGCATCAGTAATTTCCCACATTGTATTGGCTATAGATCTCCAAACACCATCAGAATAAATCACCACTCTCCCTTTGTGATTTGTAGTTCCATCAACCAAACGGACTGTGGCTGAAATCAAAGAATAATTGTTGTTGGCATTCACCCTGAAATATGTAGGCTCATAGATTGAACTCTGGCGACATGATTAAACACATGGGAATCGACATATTTTCCTACAACTCTATATATCACTAGATATAATGAAGAGAAAATAAAAATAATAGTTAGCCTGTATCATCTATCACATACTAGTATGTAGGTTAACGACTTCACATTGACAGCTGACTCACGTAAACAAAAAGTGTTGTAACACATAAAGGATAAATCTACTGCCTGCTGTACTTGTACATCACCAAATTAACATGTTCCAATTAAGACAAAACAGAACACAATCATTTCACAATTAACATTTAGAAGAGTAAGCAGAATTAGGCAATAAAAGCATATTTATCTCATTGAACCCGGGTAAAAACACAATGATAACTGATTTGAACGGCGCTAAATTATAGAATGGGACCTGACTGAATATTATAATTACAAGTACTTGCCCGCATGCAAACAAGCACGGCCTGGAAAGCTAGCACTCTCCCAGTGAAAACTAATATTGGGAACAACAATACATCTCTACATAGGAGGCCGCCATGTTTTGATACACACATTATCTGCCAAAATGTACCAATCCACAATGATCCATGACAAATTGAAAAGTAATGAAAGCAGCCAGTTCTTGATATTGCAACAGAGTCAAACCTCACATTATGTCCAACCATTATTCAGCAAACAAGTGCCCTCTGATACACTTTGCTGTTATCAGAGAGGAAACTATTTGAATAGGCGGGCTTATTCTGAGGGCCACGGCCATTTTTCTATTATTCATAGGCGTGACGCACAGGATGAAAAAGGAAAATATACAACATCGATACTGTTAATAGAGCGACTAAGTGATACATGGGACAGCATAAAACTAAATCCTGCATACTTTTATGAAAAAATCCTGATATATATTTATAATATAAACAAATTGTAAAAGTAAAAGAGAAAGCAAACACACACACAATTTTCAGATGTATATTTCTCTAAATATGCGAGAATGAAACATATGGCAGACCAACTTGCATTTGCATTTTTAAAAGCAAATTGAACGAGTGAAGATATAACTTAATACTTACGTTTACAGATCAATTCTGCATCCTGACTGTGGTCACATCTACTTGCAATTATTGAAGTGCATTCCTTGAGGCGTGTTTCACTACCACTACATTCTACTTGATCCAGTGATAGGTTACCAACTCCACTGCCAAAGTAATTGCGGGTCACTACTAGCTTGGCACCCAGTATGTGACCTGATTTTATAAGCCCAGCATGGAAATGAGGAAAATTGTAAGGTTTATTCTGGGAACTCCGAGTATGTGAGACAACTGTGAGGCCAAATGAATTCCAGGCAGATTTACACATGCACGAACAAAAGTAGGATTAAAAATATGAAAACCTGAGTTACGTAAAAACGTGTAAAACAATAAATGATATATTGACGGTATAAGCACAACAAATCAAACAGGGAAATGTCGACAAATGTTCTGTTTATGTAGATTTTGCTTCACTACACTAACCATTCAATTTGTAATTGTAAACATCCACATCCTTTGACTTACCCAATTCTTTACACACCACTTCAATATCATTAATATCCCAGCCATTGTTACAAACAGATCTCCATTCACCTGAATCGAAATATTCCACTCTACCTTCGTATGGTGTATGGCCACCAACAAGATGAACCGATTGCGCTATAACAAATATGAGGATGTACACAATGTCACAGGCGAATTTTAAAATATCAGATTGAGTAGGATTGGGTATGTTTCGTTCCAAAACAGTTGTATAGGTTATAATCTACATAATCGGTCACCAAAAAGTATTAGAGTCACACATCACGAGCTCTTACTATACTGTGGCGAAATCGAGTACACGAATTACGAACTACCTTGACAGAGCGTGATAGAAAAAAAGTGTGAATCAATTGTTGTTTAGTATGAGTGTACTCGACCATGTCAATGACAACAGCGTTGTAATAGTTTGTTTTGATTGCTAAATAGTCAGTTGTTATTTGTAAGAATCAACAATATAACAATCTAATATTTAACATTTGACATGTTGCTTTGTATTTGGTATAAGTAAAAATTGAGTAATAGTCTGAATACACGTATGCGTTTAGAAGGAAATATCTTGTTTGAGATAATTGAAGACGGTATAGTCAAGTTCTTAACAGCTATATTTCTATATCAGTAAGCATGACGAGGTTTAGATGTGAAAAGATGTGGACCGCCACACCTTAACAATTTGCACATGTCTATTTCCAGCATAAAATTGTTATGTTGCATGACACTGAAAGTATTACATATTTTAATATATAAATATTTTAATTTATCTCAAAACAATCTATGTCTAAATCCACGCGCGAATTTAGCCCACAAAAAAATATTGACAAATCAATTGAAAATTGAAAACGTCAATATGAGCGTCAATATTTCCGGATCCGCCAGTGAAATCGGTGAATTTTGTGGACCCATAACTCATGTTTGTTTTAATGATCAG